GCGGGGCGCAGTGGATGCTCCGGATGATGAGAGGGACGATGGCGGAGAGCTCGTGGCGGCCCAGCGAGTGGCTGAGCGAGCATGCCCAGAGCACGTCATTGACGGCCGGGTGGCTGTCCTGGTTGAAGGCGATGCTGAGCTGCGCCAGGGCTAGCGTGGCCAGCTTATAAGCGCGCAGCGGCAGCCCGCGGTGTTCCATGTAGCGCGCCACCGTGAAGAGGTGGGCATGGCCCAGGCCACCGGCCGCCGCGTCCAGCACAATCTGGTAAGCCGCTTCGAAGGCTGCGTGGTTCTTTTCGCACAGGGTCAGGGCCGGCAAGGCGCAGTTCTGCGGGTCTTTCATCGCGCATTGCAAGGCCAGGGTGCGCGCGCAGGCCCAGAGCTCCTCCCGCTGGGGCGTGTCCAGCTGCAAGCGCAGCAGCGTGGCATGCGTGGTGCCCGTCACCGCCACAATGGTGGTCGCCTCCACAGGTGTGAATAACGAATACCAGTTCTGCATAATATTCATCAGGGCCTGTGGGCCTGGTGGGAGGTGATGTGGGAAAATGGGTTCAGCAAGTGAGGCAGGTGTTGACCCGGACACTGTAACCCTGCTCCCACGTTCCCACCAGCCGGGGGGGTGGATGGATAGACACCCCTCTTCGCCTCTCTATGGTGCGGGGCCGTTTAAACACATATGCTCGCCACAAAGAGAGAGAGAGAGAGAAAGGGAGACAGCTCCCCTCCATCGGGGATGGTTATTCTGCAATCCTTTCTCTATTCCTCCCCCTCCTTGGGAGCGAACACACACGGGCCCGGTATGTTTCTCAAGCTGCTGAGTCTGGGACTCGAACCGCAACCGTTTGGGTTCCAGACATCTTAACCACCACACCATGACTGGCCCCAGTTTATTTTCTTTGTGTGTGTGTGTGTGTGTGTGTTTTAAAGGGAGATTTTTGCTATAGGGCGCATGCGCTCACTGGAGAGACAGAAAGCGAGAAATCACCCCCAGAGAGGAAGACCCTGCCGAAATCCCTTCTCCTCCATTCTCCTCTGGGAATTTTGGGCACGCACACACACATGCCTGGTGTGAGTTTCAAGTCTCTGGGTCTGGGACTTGAACAGGGGTGGGGCATGTGGGAGTCCAATGCCTTAACCACCACGCCACCTGCTGGCCCTTGGTTTATCTTTTTAAAGGGTCCAGGGCAGCTGGACTGGGTGGGGAGCCTGGGGTGAGCTTTGGAGCTTCCTTCCCCTCCCTCAACCACGTGGGTCTGACCCACTTCCGAGCCATGCTTCAGCGCCAACCGCTGCCCTCCCCCACCCCGTGCCCTCCCAGCCTAGCCCCGAGTCAGGGAAACGTCTCTCGGGGTCCCTCTTCAGTTTCCCCAGAGGCCCCTGCAGAACCAGAACAGGGAGGTGGGGGCAGGTGGCGGCTCTCACCGATCTCCGTGGCACAGCTGACGAGCCAGCGCACCATCTCCCTCCGCCGCCAGGTCATGGTGTCCAAGGTCATCCGCATCACCTGCGAAGTGGGAGGGGGGAGAAGTGGGGTCACCCACAGTCCTGGGCTAGCCCTTGAAAGGGGTCTGTAAGCCTGAGGGGTCCAGAGAGCTTGGAGATTCAGGGCTGATCCACTGAATCCGGGCAAGTGACTTAACCCTCCGGGACTCAGTCTCCTCATCTATAAAATGGAGAGAGGGACCAGCAGTTAGTGTAATGGCTATGTCGCTGGACTCCCACGTAGTCGACCTCGGTTCGCGTCCTGGACCCGGTGGCTTAAACTCACGCCGGGTGCATGTGCGTGCGTGCCCAAGATCCTGAGAGGAGAATGGAGGAGAGGGGATTGCGGCGTGGCCATCCCCCTGGGGGGTGATTTCTCGCTTTCTGTCTCTATGTCTCTCTCTGTCTGTCTGGGGAGCACACGCGCCCTATAGCGGAAAAAAACAAAACAAAAACCTCTCATAAAATGGAGAGAAAAATAATATCTACTGGGCCAGCAGGTGGGATGGTGGTTCAGGGCGCTGGACTCCCATGTGACCAACCAAGGTTCAAGTCCCGGACCTGGTGGCTTACTTTCTTGCTTTCCCTCCCTCTCCTTCTCTCTCATTCTTTCCCTCTCACTTTGTCTTTTCTGGTCAAATGAAAATTAATAAATTAATTAAAGGTAAATAAAATCATTCTTCTTTTTTTAAAAAAATTATTATTTTGGGGCTGGCAGGTAGCATGGTAGTCGAGGGTGCTGGACTCACGTGGCTGACCACAGTTTGAGTCCCAGACCTGGTGGCTTGCTTTCTTACTTTCCCTCTCTCACTCTGGTCAAATTGAAATAAGTAAATAAATAAAGTTAAATAAAATAATTATTCAAAATAATTATTTTATTAAGCTTATTTTTTTTAAAAAAAGATTTATTTAATTCCACCTGCTATTATTATTTTTTAATTTGACCAGACAGAGATAGAAGGAAAAAGGGAAAGCAAGAAAGCAAGCTGCCAGGTCTGGGACTTGAACTGCAGTCAGCCATGTGAGAATGCAGCACCTTTAACCATCATGCCATTTGCCGAGACAGAGAGACAGAAAGCAAGAGAAATTACCCCCCCAGGATCTTGGGCATGCATGCACATGTGCCCGACATGAGTTTCAAGTCACCATGTCGGGGACTGAACCGTGGTCAACTACGTGGGAGTCCAACGACATAACCACTACACCATCTGCTGCCCCCCACTGTGATACATAACCACTACACCATCTGCTGCCCCCCCACTGTGACTTTTAAGCCACTAGTTCTGGGACTCGAACCACGCACCTGGCCATATGGTATCTAGAACCTTAACCTCCATGCCACCTGCTGACCCCCACAGAATCTTATTGGCAGACTTTGCCCTGTCTCAGTCCTGCCCACCCATGGCATTTAACCAATAGCACATGGATCCCAGGCCCTACTCCCACGATGCCCCCTCATGTGACCCAGTCACTGGCATGCAGGCCTAGCCCTTCCCTCCGGTGTCCCCTAACTCCTCAACCTCAGTGACACCCCAGAGGCAGAGTCTCCATCATAAACCCTATCTAAGCAGGTAACCCCACTCTGCACTCCCAGGGCTTTTACTCTGGCCTTGTCACCTGCAGCAACACCCTTAGAGATGACACTCCATCAAGCACGACCACCCAGAGATGTGGCTTACATGCAGGTCCCACCCTCCTTCCCTAGGCAGCCCTCACACTGAGCCCCATCCCCAGAGCAGTCAATGTTCTGCTCCACCCTCAGAGGTGTGGCTAAGGGAGGCCACGCCCTCAGAGGTGTGGCTTATACTCAGGCCCCACCCTCACACTTGTGAAATACGCAGTCCCAACTCACAGAGGTGTGGCTTACTCAGGCCCCACCTCCAGACAACTGGTTAATATTCAGACTCCACCCTCGGAGGAGTGGCTTGCTTAGGCCCCACCCTCAAGCAAGTAGTTAATATTCAAGCCCCACCCTCATAGGCATGGTTTGCTCAGCCCCACCTCTAATTGAGTAGTTAATACTCAGGCCTACATGGGCTCGATCAAAGCTTCCCTCCCCCACATCAAAGCCCTCCCTCATCCACCTGGGGCCCTCACCTGCAGGCCCAGCTCCAGCGCGATACCCAGCAGCGTGGTGTCTGGTGGCGCGCTGGCCGGAGTGGCTGTCTTGCAGGCGTCCTGCGCCAGTTTGAAGAGCAGGGCGGGCGAGTGGATGTTCTCCTGGATGGAGCCCAGCACCGCGTGCAGCCACGTGGGGTCTCCTGTGTGGAAGAAGGACACAGGGGCGCTGTTGGATACACCCCAACACCAGCTCTGCAGCGGCCAGACCTGTTTACACAGGCTCTTCTGCCCCTGGGCCAGAGAGTGCCCAGGAAATGCACAGTGAAGACCCAGGGACTCAGTGCCTTCCCTCCGTGTGTCGTCCCTCCCTCCTCTATTTTTTTTGGGGGGGGGAGGGGAATCATTGTTATTTTTAAAAATAATTATTTTATTTATTCATTCATTTATTTTCATTTGATTAGAGAGACACACACACAGGGAGAGAGAAAGTGAGAAAGCAAGCCACCAGGTCCAGAACCACCGTTGGCCATGTGGGAGTGCCCAGAACCTTAATCACCACACCACCTGCTGTTCGGGGGGGGGGTAGGGAGGGTGATTTTATTTAACTTTATTTACTTATTTATTTTAATTTCAACAGAGAGGGATAGTGAGAGAGAAAGAAAGCAAGCCGCCAGGTCTGGGATTTGAACCATGGTCAGCCACGTGGGATTCCAGCGCTCCTAACCACACCACCTGCCAGCCCCATCCCCTCCTCTATTTCAACAGGACAAAGCCACTTAGGGACCTATTGAATCCCTACTTTTCAAGGGCACTGCTTCTGGACTCTCAGTGCCAGGGTTCAAATTCCTGTCCTGCCATGCCACGCTAGCTGTGTGACCCTGAGCAACTTGCTATTAGTCTCTGTGCCTTGGCTGCCCCATCTATAAAATGGGTTATAATAAAGCACTGGTACCTGTCTTCACAGCATACGTGGTGAGTCCATACGGGGCAGTCGTTCCATAACTGTGGCTTTTCTTACTATTCTCATTGGCCAGGTCCAGTAATTCCCCTTCCCTGTGTTCCAGCACTTTCTACCGCAAATAGAACAGGCATTGTTTGGGCTAAGGGACTTTGCAGGAACATTCACTCTGCCTGGAACACTCTTCCCAAATCCTCTGGACTGAAATGTGTCCCCCATGACGCCCTAACCCCTAGGGTGAGGCTATTTGGACACGGGGCCTTAGGGAGATAGCCAAGTTAGATAAGAGTGCGAGGGTGGGGCCCTCATGATGGGATCAGTGCCCTTATATATATTTTAAAATTAGCTACAGGGGGACTGGTAGGTGTGTGGTGGTTAAAATGCTGGATTTCCACATGGCTGACAGCAGTTCAAGTCCCACACCTGACGGCTTGAAAATCGCAATATGTAAATACATAAATCAATAAATAAATGTTAAAAAAAGTCAGCTGCAAGTTGTGTGTACTCATGGGACAGACAGAGAAAGAGACAGAGAAGGAAGGAAAGAGAGGGCCCAGTAGATGGCATGGTGGTTAAAGGCGCTGAACTCCCACATGGCCGATGGTGGTTTGAGTCCCGGACCTGGTGGCTTGATTTCTCGCTTTCTCTTGCTCTGTTTCTTTCTGGTCAAAAAACAAACAAATGAATAAATAAAATAATTATTTTTAAAAATAAATAATGATTCCCTTTCTCTCTGGGTGTGTCTCTCTCGGGTCAAATAAAAATAAATGAATGAATAAATATTAAAAACAACAACAAATTCACACCGGGTACGTGTACATGCATCCCCAAAACCCCGACAGGAGACTGGGGGAGAAGGGATTGCAGTGCGGCCATCCCCCAAGGGGGTAATTTCTCACTTTCTGTCTCTCTGTCTCTCTCTATCTCTCTCTGGTGAGCACACGTGCCCTTGAGAGAGAAATCTCCAAAAAAAAAAAAAAAGATAAGAAGGCCAGTCAGTGGTATAATAGTTAAAGTGGCTGGTTCAAGTCCCAGACAGGGCAGCCTGAAACACATGCCATGCACATGTGCATGTGTGACTGGAATCCTAAGATGAGACTGGAGAATCGATTGTGGTATGGCCATCCTTCCTGGGGGTGCTTTCACTTTCTTGCTCTGTCTCTCTCTCTCTCTGGCGAGTACACATGCCCTATAGCAAAATTTATAAAGTGGGAGGGAAATAGAAAAGGCTAGAAGAGGAGACCAGCAGGTGGCGAGGTGGTTAAAGTGCTGGACACTCCTACATGGCCGACCATAGTTCGAGTCCCACACCTGGTGGCTTGCTTTCTCACTTTCTCTCTCTCTTTCTTTCTCTCTCTGGTCAAGTTCAAATGAATGAACGAATAAATAAAAAATTAAATAATTATTAAAAAAAAATAAGGCTAGAAGGAAAGGAAGGAGCAGAGGACGGGACTGGGGCAGCTGCCATCCTCACCCTTAGCGGCAGACAGCATGGTGGAGGCCAGTTCACACTGGCGGGTCTCCAGGTGGCCAAGGATGAACCAGCGGGGGAAGCGGTTGTTCGTGATGGAGTCCAGCGGGGTGGGGTGAGGTTCTCCGGCTGGGAACGCTGTCTCCAGTACAGGGAGCCTAGGACGATGGGAGAGGCAGGATGGAGGTGAGGGGAGCTGCTGTCTGCAGTCTCTCGAGGAGGGATGGGCTCCCTGCCCCAGCCTAACCCTCCCCCCTCAGGCCACTGGAGCCCCTGGCTCTAAGAAGATGGAAGATGTGCACACAAAGATGTTCACCGCAGGGGCCAGCAGGTGGAGTAGTGGTTAAGGCGCTGGATTCCTACATGGCCAACTGCGGTTCAAGACCTGGACCCAGAGGCTTAGTAATCACCCCAGTGGGGACCAGCAGATGGTGTATTGGTTATGTCACTGGACAACCCGTGGTCAATTGTGGTTCAAGTCCTGGACCCGGTGGCTTAAACTCACACAGGGTACATGTGTGTGCATGCCCAAAATCCCAAGAGGAGAAGGGATTGTGGCGTGGCCATCCCCCCGGGGGGTGATTTCTCATTTTCTCTCTCTCTCTCTCTCTCTCTTTTTTTTTTTTTTTTTTGAGAGACAGATTTTTGTTATGGGGTACATACATTTGCTGATTGACAGAGAAACAGAAAGCAAGAAATCACTCCCCAGGGGGGATGGTCACACCGCAAACCAGGTGTTCCATTGTTCTCTTGGAATCTTGGGCACACAGACAGATGCCCTGGCATGAATTTAAGCCACCGGGCCTGGGACTCGAACTACGGTGAGCTGTGGAAGTCCAGCGACATAACCATTACGCCATTTGCTGGTCCCGGTCCCTTTTGAATTCTAATCACATTAATTATTTTTCAAATTCGAAATAGTACACACTGATATCTAGTAATGAATAAAACAGCAACGAATGCTACAGTGATGGAGACGGAATTAACCAGGCTGTGGGTTCAGGGTGTGCATGTGTATGTATGTGTGTGCGCGTGCCCGCACAGGGGGCGATTCGAGCCACACCCGCCCCTCCCACACCCGGCTGTGACCCCAGTCCTCTGTTCTGACCTCATAGCTCGGAGCGCCAGGCGGTAGGCCAGGTCCGGGTCGTGCGGCAGCAGCGCAGTAAACAGGTAGTGGGCACAGCTGTGCATGGGCACGCTCTCGCGGAACAGCACCTCTCCAAAGCCGCTGAAGGGACCCCCTGCAGGGACAACCTGGGCTCAGTCCCCTGCTGTGGCGTGGCAGGATATAGTCCCAGGGTAAGAGAGGTCCCAGGGGTAGGTACTCAGAGCTGAGACTAGCAACTGGGGACTGGGGAAGTTGCAGCCCTGAGCAAATAGCCTAGAAAAGGCTGGCCCCAGGGCGGGGCCAACCTGGCTCTCCTGCCTGTGGCAGGCGGAGACTCAGCACACAAGCCAATAGGGTCATACCATGGGCGGAGCCACTGAAGCCCAATGGGGGAATGAGGCGGGGCCTCGCCCCATCAGTGACTGAGCTCATTGGCTCCATGGTGGGCAGGGGGCGGGGCCTCACTGCACACAGCAGATATTGGCTGCCCGAAGGAGCTAGGTGACGGGACTAGAGTTGGAGCCCGCCTTTTAGGAATTGCCAAGGTGTGAGTGGACATTAAAGACCAAAAGCAGGGTTAGGGGAGGGACCGCTCTATCCAGCGGCAACCAGGATAGAGGGCAAGACCCTCCGTTTCAGGAGCAGCAGGGTCTAGGGCGGGGCCTCACCTTCCAGCAACAGCTCCGCCTGCTTGCGCAGCACCTGCACCAGCCGCTCGTCCAGGTCCACCTCCTCCAGCAGGGCCAGCAGCTGCTCCTCATTCCGCACCACCTTGTCCTGGGCGTACAGCCCCTCGGGCAGGGCCCGCTGCTGCCCCAGCCCCAGCAGGGCCACCTCCAGCGCCAGCGCCAAGTACGACTCGCCAGGGTTCCCGGGCACCGGCACGTGCTGGTAGGTCACCTTCCGCTTCTCAGGGCCTGAGTCTGGGGGACACAGGACCAGGGCTGCTGGGAGGGAGGCTCGCTTCTCCAGGAACCGGCAGTTCTCGTCCCAAGCAAGGAGGGTGGTGCCACCACGGGATCTGGAGGAGCCCAGAAGCTCCAGGCAATCGCTAGGGGCCGTCCACCGCGGCGTGGGGGGGGGGGGTGACCACTTACAGGACAGCTAAGCCTATTGGCTCCTGGCACTGACCAGGGACGTGGCCAAGCATAGGGCCTGGCCAAGCGCAAGAGCTGCTGTCAGTCACCTTCTAAGGGTACTGGGCTTGGGCACCATCATTAGCCTACACGGGGTCCCTGGGGTGGGCACCTGGGTAAAGGTCGAGGGTCTCCTCCTCCAGGCGACAGGCCTCCAAGAGGGCCCTGCAGAGACAGCCGATGGGATCCAGGGGGTGGCCCACCCATCCTTCCGTGTTGGTAATACAAGTGGAACCTTTCTGAAGTAGCTCTGCAGTCAGAAAAGAGGGGTTCGCTGTATACCCACTCTCCGTGGAGTGGGGGAACGTCTTTGTCCTGCCCCCCACCTCCACCGAGCCCACCCCAGTCTAAAGTGGGCCCACCACTCTTATTGAGGTCTACTGTGGCACGCAACAGACTCAAGCCTGGCAGAACACAGGAGGACACTGGGTACTGTTTTTTTGTTTGTTTGTTTTTTTAGGGTTTTGCCACAGGGTAGGTGTGCTTATGGGGGGTGGGGGTGGGTGAGAAATCACCCCCAGGGAATGCCACATTGCAATTCCTTCTTGGGATTTTGGGCATGCATGCACATGCATCTAGCATGATATTCAAGCTGCCGGCTCCCGGGGATGAACTGTGGTCAGCCATGTGGGATTCCAGTGCCTTAATCACCACGCCTGCTGGCATGTCCCCCTGCAATTGACTGTAGGTAACGGAAACCATCAGGTGACTTGGTGGTTAAGGCAGTGGACTCCCACATAGCTGACTGCAGTTTGAGTCCTGGACTTGGTGACTTGCATTCTCACTTTCCCTTTCTCTCTAGTCAAATTTAAAAATAATAATACATATCATAAAATAATTGTTTATTTTTTAGAGATTTTTCTATAGGATGGGTGTGCTTGCTGGAGAGACGGACAGACAGAAAGCTAGACATCACCCCCCCCAGGGAGGATGGCCACGCTGCAATCCTTTCTCTTCCATTTTCCTATCAGGATTTTAGGCACACATGCCCATGCACCTGGTGTGATTCTGAAGCCGCCAGGTCCAGGACTCGAACCGTGGTCGACTATGTGGGAGCTCACTGATATAATGGGTGTGCTTGCTGGAGAGACGGACAGACAGAAAGCTAGACATCACCCCCCCCAGGGAGGATGGCCACGCTGCAATCCTTTCTCTTCCATTTTCCTATCAGGATTTTAGGCACACATGCCCATGCACCTGGTGTGATTCTGAAGCCGCCAGGTCCAGGACTCGAACCGTGGTCGACTATGTGGGAGCTCACTGATATAACTGCGGGGTGATTTCTCGCTGTCTGTCTCTCTGTCTCTCTCTGTCTTTCTGGCAAGCGCATGCACCCTATAGCAAAAGCCTCTCCAAAAAAAAACAAAAAAAGTTCTGGGGCAGGTGGCATGGTAGTTAAGGATGCTGGACTCCCACATGCTGACCAGGGTTGGGAGTCCTGGACCTGGCGGCTTGCTTCCTCACTTTCCCTCTCTATCTCTTGCTCTGTCCCTCTCTGGTTAAATTTTTAAAAAATAAATACAGTTAAATAAAATAATTCTTAGAAAAAAACACAAAAAGGGACCAGCAGTTAGCGTAACGCCTATGTCGCTGGACCCCCAAGTAGTCGACCGCGGTTCGAGTCCCAGACCCAGTGGCTTAGACTCACGCTGGGCGCGTGTGCGTGCGTGCCCAAGATCCTGAGAGGCGAATGGAGGAGAAGGGATTGCGGCGTGGCCATCCCCCCTGGGGGGTGATTTCTCACTTTCTGTCTCTTTGTGTCTCTCTCTGTCTTTCTGGTGAGCGCACGCGCCCTATAGCAAAGAAAAAAACAAACAAAAAGAACATAAAAAAATAAATATATCTTTTTCTGCTTGAGATACCTCCCCTGGTTCTGTTTTCCAATAGGCCCTTCCATGGAACTCACTGACCCTCCCAGTGGCTGGCATTTGTGTCACCAGCCCCTGGGACACGATGCCATTGTCACTGCCCACCTTTTTTTTGCTGCTTGTAACTCTCAAGCTGATGTCGCCGCTGAAGCCGGAGAGTGTTCACTATGGCACCTGCCAGCCGTAGGGCCTGGCGCGGGTACCCATGGGCGCGCAGGGTGTCCACGCGGGCGCAGGCGGTGGGGAAAGGTTCGCCCAGCCAGAGTGGGCGGCCCTGGGGGTCGAAGGTGGGCTTGTCTCCGCCCATGGTGCCCGTGAGGCTGGGGCCGTAGGAGTCACTGGCAAGGATCCTCTGCAGGTGCGCGTCACTCCAGCGCAGCTCGCCGGCCTGCAGGGCGCGGCCGAAGACCGTGTGGCGGGATCGCGAGGCGGCCGCCTCGTCCTCCTCCGAGCCTGTGGGAGAGGTGTTCAACGCGGCCTGGTGAGGGCAGCCCTAGGGGTCATGCCACAGTCCCCTGTCCTCACCAGACGCCGACTTGGGAGTTAGGAGTGGGCAGAGCAACGGGTGTTAAGTCATCGCCCCAACCCCAAAGACATGCTTCAGAGATGTGGGTGGGGGGGCATCAGGTGGCGTGCTGGTTATGTCGTTAGACTCCCATGTGGACGACCATGGTTCGAGTCCCGGACCCAGTGGCTTGAAACTCACTTCAATGTGTGAGTGTACCCAAGATCCCAAGAGGAGAATGGAGAAGGGATTGCAGCGTGGCCATCCCCCCTGGGGGTGATTTCTCACTGTCCCTCTCACTGTCTCTGTCTCTGATGAATGCATGCTCTCTATGGCAAAAACCTCTTTGGGTGCCTGTATTATTACTATGATTATTATGTTTTTAAAGAATTATTTATGGGCTGGCAGATGGCGTGATGGTTAAGGGCGTTGGACTCCCACATGGCTGACTGCGGTTCGAATCCTGGACCTGGCAGCTTGCTTTCTCATTTTCCCTCTCTCTCACTCTGTCCCTCTCTGGTCAAATTAAAAATAAATAAATAGGGCTAAATAAAGTTAAATAAAATAATTATTTTAAAAAAGTATTGAAAAAGAAAAAAACAATTATTTATTTAATTTTATTTATTTATTTTCATTTGACCAGAGAGAAACAGAGACAAAGAAGAGAAAAATCAAGCTACCAGGTCTAGGACTTGAACTATGGTCAGCCATGTGGTAATGTCTGGTGCCTTAACTGCCATGCCACCTGCCGGTCCGGGAGTCCACCGTTTTAACCACCATGCCACCTGCTGGCCCCATCCTGGCATGGTTTCAAGCCACCGGGGCTGGGATTTGAACTGCGGTAGGCCATGTGGGATCCGTCTTGAATGCAGATCACTTAGCGCTGCGCTAAAGGTCCTCTCTCCTTTTATTTAACCCCTCCCTCCTTTATTCATGGTAAGAGTATGTGCACAGGCATACGGGGCACTGAGGGAGAGAGAGAGAGACAGAGAGAGACCCTCCTACAGGGCTTGGTCACATTCCAGTCCCTTTGCTCTGGTCCTGCAGCCCCTTGGATCTTGGGAAGCACATATGTGCCCCTCAAGTCTCGGGCTGCCCCACTCTGAGCTCCATAAAGCCGGGCCTCTCTTTATTCTGTGTCTCCCTTTCTCCCGTTTGAATCTACCTGTCCAATTTGGTCTCCCGTTCTCTCTCTGCCACCATAGCTAGTGAGAGCCTAAGCCGTTAAGATCAGCACAGGACGGCAGGTGATTTTAGCATTTTTGCCTCAACATTCCTCAGGCTGCAACTGCTCCTGCCCTCAGCACTCGCTCCCTCCTGGTGGGACAGCCAAGGGCTTGAGCCCCCTTTTTCTCTTAGGATAGAGCACTGAGTGGCCGGCAGGTGGCGTGGTGGTTAGGGACACTGAATTCCCACATGGCCGACTGTGGTTTGAGTCTCGGACCTGGTGGCTTGCTTTCTCATTTTCCCCTTCTCTCTCTCTTTCACACTCTGTCCCTTTCTGGTCAAATTAAAATAAATAAATAAATAGATAGATACATAAATGACAAATCTGTTTAAAAATGAAAAAAGGACAGAGCATTGAAATGGGAGGTTGGGCCTTAGTAAGGGTATTCTGGAGGGTGCAGCAGGGAGTCCTCTCCTACCTGGTCTGGGGGCCGCGGTGGGCTGCAGGCTGGGGCCATCGAAGGAGTAGTTACCCTCTTCCAGGGGACACATGTCCAGCTTGTCCCAGGTTCTCAGCAGCTGGAGCCAGCCTGCCCGCTCCTCTGGTTTGCAGTGGGGGCTCAGGACGACGCAGACCCAGAGGGCCCCTGGCAGGGGGGGCGGGGGAAGGTTCGACGTTCATGCCAACAGCACAGCCCATGGTTCTGCAGTACCTAATACCAGGGGCCACACTGCCTACCCCGCCTCGACCACCTCGGGTGGGAACGAACAGTCTATTCCCTCTACAGGTAAGAAAACTGAGAACTGGGGCACAGAGAAGTAGGACCACTTCCTGGAGGTCACACAGCTAGCGGGTAAGTGGGGAGTCGAACCCAGTCCTCCACACTCTTCTTGGCTTTTTAAACTTAAAAAGAATTATTTATTTTATTTGTTAGTATTATTATTTGTTTTCATTGGACCAGAGAGACAAAGAAAGTGAAAATGAGATGGAACCAGCAGCTGGTGTAATGGCTATGTCACTGGACTCCCATGTAGTCGACTGTGGTTCGAGTCCTAGACCCGGTGGCTTAAACTCATGCCAGGCGTGTGTGCGTACGTGCCCAAGATCCCGAGAGGAAAATGGAGAAGGGATTGTGGCGTGGCCATCCCCCCAGGGGGTGATTTCTCGCTTTCTGTCTCTCTTTCTCTTTCTGGTGAGCATATGCACCCTATAGCAAAAACCTCTCCAAAAAATAAAAAAGAAAAAGGAAAATAAGAAAGAAAGTGAAAGTGAGATGAGGCCAGCAGGTGGTGTGGTGGTTAAGGGCGCTGGACTCCCACATGGCTGACCATTGTTCGATCCCCGAACCTGGCAGCTTGCTTTCTCACTTTCTTTCTCTCTCTGGTCAACTTCAAAAAATAAAATAAAATAAAATAAAATAAAATAAAATAATGACAATAAAATGAAATAAAATAACTTTTAAAAAGTTAAATAATTCTTTTTTTAAAACAAATTTATTGGGATGCCACCGTGCCCAGCGGGACTTTAAGAAGTTCACGGGCGGGCCAGCAGGTGGCGCTGCCCATCTGACAAGGGGCGGAGCTCAGGCCTTCATGCCAGGGATGGGGAGTCCATGGGGACGGGCTGCAAATGTAAATGGAGCTTCCCTAGCTGGCTTGCCACTTCCCTCCTGCTGCGCTCCCTGTTTATGGGGATGGGGACCCCTGCCCTATCAGCTGTCACAGAATTTTGCCTTGCGCTCTCCGCGGTAGCTCACGCCCCTTCCCACCCCTATGGGTGGTGCTTAAGAAATGTTTGCAAATGAATGGAGGATTGAGGTAGGGCGAGCTACAGACCCTAAGCAAGACCTGGGAGCTAGAGTCCCGACCCCGAGCCGAGCCCGAGCCCACCGTGGGGTCTGGGGCTTACCCAGCTCGTCCCAGAGCTGCCGGCACTTGTCGGTCATGCCCGCGCCCTGCTGCCGCCACAGCGCCAGGCGCGGGTCTTGCAGGAACTGCTCGGTCATGAGGATCAGCATGCGCGCCCCGTTGGAGTCCCGCATGCGCAGCATCTCCCGCACCTGCAGGACGGGCAGGGTGGTGAGGAAGGGGCGGGAACCGCGGGGCCTGCTGAGCTCCCCGAGCCCGGCCCCCCAGCCCCGCACTGCACCTTGCTGAACATGGAGCGCAGCTGCTGGCTGGCCCCGTAGTAGCCGCCGTTGGACAGCAGCTGCTTCACCTGCTCCTGGATCTGCTCCTCGTCCAGGTGCCAGCAGTTCGTGTCCTCGATGCCGGCGCCTGCGGTGGGGTCTGGGGCGCCTGGGGGAGGGAGAGAAGGCTGAAGCTACAGTCTCAGGTAAGGTTGGGGTCAAGAGAGGGCATCTGGGGACCAGCAGTTAGCGCAATGGCTATGTCGCTGGACTCCCACGTAGTCGACAGCGGTTCTCGTCCTGGACCCTGTGGCTTAAAACTCACGCCGGGCACGTGTGCGTGCGTGCCCAAGGTCCCGAGAGGAGAATGGAGGAGAAGTGGGGTCTTTTCTTTTCTTTTCTTTCCCTTTCTTTCCCCTTCCTTCCTTCCTTCCTTTTTCTTTCTTTCACATTTTATTCATTGTCATTATTTTATTTATTTATTCGATTGAGGTTGACCAGAGAAAGACAGAGAGGGAATGAAAGTGAGAAAGCAAGCTGCCAGGTCCAGGACTTGAACCGTGGCCAGCCTTATGGGAGTGTCCAGCACCTTAACCACCATGCTACCTGCTGGTCCCTCTTTTTTTTTTTTTTTTTTGCACGCT